GAGAGAGAGAGGGAGAGAGAGAGAGAGACAGAGAGAGACAGAGAGAGAGAGAGAGAGAGAGAGAGAGAGAGAGAGAGAGAGAGAGAGAGAGAGAGAGAGAGAGAGAGAGAGAGAGAGAGAGAGAGAGAGACAGAGAGAGGGAGAGAGGGAGAGAGAGAGAGACAGAGAGAGAGAGAGAGGGAGAGGTAGAGAGAGAGGTAGAGAGAGAGAGAGGGAGAGGGAGAGAGAGAGAGAGAAAGAGAGAAAACACGGGATTTAGCGGTCGTGCTATAGGTGCCAGTGTGGTATTTACACGATTGTTGATTGGGCAACGGCTCAGCAGGTGACGGCTGTAAAGCAGCGCTGAAGTATGTTCAAGCTGCCAACTGAGCTCATATAAGTGAGGCCAAAACAAGCCTCACTGCTATTCACACTTAATGAGCATTACAGTGTGTTCAATAAGTGTGTTTTCTTTGCGCCGGATTACAGCTAAACATCACCTATTTTAATACGCACTGCTGATTTCATATATAAAAACTTGTGAAGGTGGTTTTTGTGCTTCTTGCAAAGGATCACACGGCTGTTTGTGTATGTTATTAGCCTAAATAAATCCTATTAGAAGAAAGCAAAGTGGTTTGGCTCTTAGCGAGGTTCAAGTTCTAACATCGGAAAACTTTTTTTATTGCGCCTTAAAAGCCACATTTTAATTATCGAATAAATCTCCATGACAAAGTGCTTCCAATGCAAAGCACTTTTTAGCAGTTCATCCAATCTGTAGGTCTAAACATAGACAGCAACCTGTGCTCTTAAGATTTCAAACTAATCAGTTACTTGGTTAAGAAAAAGATCATGGTTTGGGATCAAAATAAGTAGACTTGTTACACACATAAATGAAGTATGTTGCGTATGTGAACGTAAGTTAGGGACATTACGTACATGGGGTCATTACAATATTTTAGGTACGTGGTAAGATATATTACTTCCTGGCTAGGTTAAGGCAAAAAAAAACGACTCAGATTAAGATAAATACACTTGTTACGCAACTTAAGTTACATACGTTCACTTAATAAGTTACGTTGGTGACGTAAGCGGAGTCTTTTATGTTAGCTAACTTACGTACATTACTTAAAATAAGTTGACTTTTGGTATCACTCAAGACACAAATAGTAGTTATTGGGTGAAGTCATGTTTTTATTCCATAACCTCCAATCTCAGCCCTATACTGACCTCCTCGATCTTTATAATAAGTCACCTGAGTAACATAGTTTGACGTTTACAGTAAGTGTTTGAACCGTTGGGAGCGATAATGCTCTGCTTGTAGCTTCAAGTAGAGAGATAATATTTTCATGAAAACTTGACTGGAATTTGCACTTATGACCTTATATCTATGGAATTCTGCTAAAGCCCTGAAAACAAAGCATCTACGCCTAGAGAAATTGACTGTCATAACATTGGGTTGTTTTGCAGTGTAGTCATTTTTTCAGGTTAGGACACAACATGGCAATAACATCTTTAAGAGAGAATTATAGACTGTGTTCTTTAGGAACAAATATATGGACTGTGTAATTACATGTATTAATAATGTTAAACGCTCTTTGCTGCTCCTGAGCTGTTAAATAATAATTGCCTGCATCTTTGCTAATTTTTTTAACTTTGTGTTCCATATTTGACTGTAAAAAAGTATTTAATTCAAATTGTTAAAATGTCCCAAGTGGCACGGTCTACATGTTTACTGCAATCCTCCTTCTGAGCCTCATTTAATTTCACAAGAAGTTAATTATGCATGCTCTAAGCAATTAAACTACTGGGAGGATTGCTAAATTATGGGTAATTTCATGGGTGGAATCTGCATGAAATGAAATAAATTAATGTTTCTATTTTTCCCTTTCCATAATTTCTTCAAAGGTGTCTTTACATAGGCGGTTTATCATGTTCATGACTAATAAACATTTTTATGTAAGAGCTGATTTGTATGTCTCTACACATCTCACACTAACAAATCGCCTCGGTAATCTGATCTGCATTTTCTAATACTGACTATTAACACAAACAAGTGTTAATCACCAGCCACTATCAATGGATTTTCATCAGAAGAATGGTGGAGGAAAGATGGAGCAGCAGCTACCTGCCTGAGGTAAATTCACTGAATCTGAATCTGATGTTATCTCAATTGATATCAATTGACAACCAGATAATTTGACACAGAGTCTGCTTTTTATTCTGAAAACATTGACATTTACTCATCTGTTTTTTTGCAGATCACAGTTCAGCAAGTACAGCATGGTTTCCTTACTAGCTAGCTAGGTTTCCTGCACTCGGCCAGTAAGTTTTGTCAAACATACTTTTATTTTCTTCAAGCTCTATTTTCTCTTAAATCAGGTTGGCACCTTCCCTCTAGCATAGACTGGTTGGTTGTAGGATGACATAACTTTCATCTTTCCTTCTCTGGTGTCAATTCCAGACTTCCCATAAATATTGTTTTTCACTTCTTTTGCTTATTCAGTTTGGGCAAAAACAAAAATTTCTTATGCCCAAATTGCCTTACTACTCAAAAAGTGCTGGAGGAATGAGTCTTTAAAACTCACAAATGAGTGAGCATTTTCGCACTTCCGGTTCCCTCTTCTCAACGTCAATTGTTGTTGTTTCGTAATAAATGATGTCAGTAAACACTTAACTTGTGGATATTGAAGCTTCAACATATCATAACAAGTTGGTTGCTTAGCTAAGTGGCGTCAAGTCAAACAGCCATGGTGCAGTTACATTACATTACATGTCATTTGTTAGACGCTTTTATCCAAAGCGACTTACATACTCAATACTGTGGACAATCACCACAGGAGCAATTTGGGGTGAAGTGTCTCAGGGACACAACAACATGCTGACTGCAGTCGGACTCAAACTTGCTATCCCCTGATTCGAAGTCCAGCACACTACCCACTGAGCCACAGCCTCCCCAGTTTGTATACAGCCGGACATTACGCCCCACCTTTAGCTTTATGGTGCTAACAAAAACTCTACCACTGACCAAAATACAAGACCAAAGACACCTTTAAAACACTCACATCCATAGGATTATTAAAAAAAAGGACATACAAACAAAACAATATAAAATCCTAGGCAGAAACACCAGCCTTTAGTGGTGGGTGCGTGAAGTCATGTGATACATATTAGTATCATGTATCAACATGAGGTTAATTCTTCAATAATCCAGAATTTGGCTGATAATTCCCATTGGCTATTTGGAAAAGAATGATCCTTAAAGTTCCTTAGTTTGCCTTTAAAACATTTCACATTGAGTTTTGGTGACTAATAGCAACACATATCTATTTCCGTCCACAGGGAAACTCTTTAATCCATTTTTGGTCCTGACCCATAGTTTTGTACTCTCTCCTTCTATATTTAGATCTAACATTGACATTCATGACCGTTTTATAAATGGAAAGTCATCCCTCACAGGCCTGAAATGTTGATTTAGAGTCCACTTCTTGCCCAAATGGCCTTGAGACTGTAATAGTAATAGTACCCCCTTGTTTTCAGCAAAAAGCCCCAAAGAACATCATTAGTAGAAGTTACAAGCGTTTCTGTGACTGCTCTGTCTGATAGTAAAAGCTAACAAATCACTTCCTGTTTTTGCAGACACCAGTGGAGCTTTGCTGATGGACATGAGGCAGCAGAGATGTATACAGCCGTCTCTAAGATCATCCGGCTGCTGAGAGGCCTCCATGTTCACTACTTGACTTATAAAAACACCACTAAAACGTTCAACACTTTGGAGTTTCTTCACTGTTCCTACTTATCCTCAATCCACTGATTCAGACGTTCTCAACCTTGGGAGTTGCAATTTATAATAATTATATATTAATATGTTATATATATGAATATTTGTATTGAAAATATATGATTATTTCTATCTATTTTGTAATTGCTGCTGCTAAAAAACTTTTTTTATAAATATTTTATACTTTTTTATAAAGATTATATACATCCCTGATAGCTGTGGTGGTGGGAATATTATATTGCACAGGGCAGAAAGAATTGAAAACCCCAAAATGTGTCTGGAGCAAATGATTGGTGTATTAACAGAAATTCGTGGCTGGTTAAATAGTTTAGGTAATAAGTTGCCCCTGTAAAATGTTGTGAATATACAATTAAATTAAAAAAATGACCTGTATATTAAATTGACTGCTTCTTTGTATTTCTTTGTGGTACATTTTATAATAAAAATCCCTTTTTTCTTAGAAACAAAAATTACATCCTGGAGCATTCTTGTACGTGTCTACACGACAGAATAAAGCAGATTACTGCACTAATACGACATTTTTGCGACTAGTTAATTTGAATACAAAACAGGTGATTTAATAAACTCACGTACACTGTCAAAACATAAAAAAGCTCTCTGATTTCTGATCCTTAGGGTTCAATATCGCCCCGCAGTCGATCTAACCTGTCAGACGGTCAGCAACCCTCGTGGTGTTGGAGTGTGTGTTGCAGTGTGAGGGGATGTTGGAGTGTGTGTTGCAGTGTGAGGGGATGTTGGAGTGTGTGTTGCAGTGTGAGACGTTGTTGAGCAGAGCTTCTCTGTTGTTTTAATGCAGGGGCTGGTCCAGCAGAGGTATTCACATGTGAGACTTCTGAAACAATAGGCCCAGTGTGAAGCCCCACACTTTGCCCCTCTGGCTGCCACAGGTCTCTAAACGAGGCTCCTTAAATAGAAAATAACCTTTTTTCTTTGGGTGATGGTGCGGTTAAATCGTGTTTCCTGCTCTCAAAACGGTCGCATATAGGCATAACCTGGAGTATTTGTAGACAGCATCAGGAGCCCTTTTAAGTTCCTGGAAAGACTAACTATGCAGTTTGAAGGAAGAGGTCCAAAAAAAAAAAAGGAGACACTTTTGGGGCCAACTTTAAGGAAAGGGTAAAACGCGGTGATATGCAAACGCAGCAATAATTTCCAGCTGCCATCTGGAAGTGTTTTACACCTTTTAGATTGGCTTGGAATGTATGGCCTCTGCAAGTGTTTCAAACTCGAAAATGAAATTCCTTCTCCCTCACACAAAAAAGAAAATTGCTATCCAGACGGTGTTAATAGTATGAGTGTTTTTCTGTAAATCATTAGGTATCCAGAGACAGCAGCTCCTTTGAGATTTGCCCCAGATGTGTTGATCCGCTCGGATGCCATTTCCTCCTTGGTGGTGCTCGTCGTGTGCCAGTCAGACTGATAATAAACACACATAAATAACAGTTTCTGTAACAGCTGACATGAAAATGACTATTTATGGTTAGGCTGTGCATACACTTGGAGGCTCTTTATCGTTGTGGAGCAGCCATGCATGTTGAAATTATTGAAATTTTAGCTAAAACAATAAGGCTTTATCATTTTCACTCGTCCAGTTACTTAAAATGTGTCAGTTTTAAGGAGCCATCATTTTTTCTTTTTGAGCTAGGAGTTATTTATTAACTAGCTTTAGTACTGAGATAAGGTCAGAACATCTGAGTGAGTTTCAAAAAGAGTGTGGGAGTAAGAAAGTGTTTTTTATCTTCATCATAGTAACCATTGTTTTTCTTACAAGAATGAGTCATCCGAGGTAGAGGAAGAAACAGAGACCCTCTCAGCATGGCATTCAATCAACATATCATTTTAAATCGCAAATAGTGAATACAAGATAAAAAGAAAACTGTGAAAAATGATAATTTGCCATTTATTGAGACTTATGGGCTGCATTTCTATTTACTTAAAGCCTCTGATTTTTACATCTGTTCATTTCATTCCAGTATTGGTGTTTAATACCGTGTAATGTTATTGCATATGTTCCAAAGAAAGAGCCCTTTGTCCACCAGGACTATTAAAAACAATAACCTCAAAAAGTAATTTTCCATTTCAAAGTTTAATAAGTAGCGCATATGGCCCAGGGAAGTTACAATCTAATCAAATGCAAACAAACAAGCCCAAACACAGAATAAGCAAACGCTGACGTGAAGAATCTGCCATCAGATCTGAGAGCGCTATCTCGGGAAATACCACCAGGAAGATGGAGAAACTGCGGCTTTTTACTCTTTGTTTAAGGTTGATTTGCAAGATTAAATCCATGTTGTTTTAAATCCCATACCTCCATAATGAAACCCTTGAGTCAAAAGACCACCTCGCCTCTCAGGGATTTGTAAGAATTTCAAAGACTTCAGTGTGCAGAAAGTTGAGATTCAAGCCTCCGAATTCACAACCCTGTGGTAAAAACATCATCTCCCAAACCCAATCCACTTTATTGTTCCTCTGTTCTTTGTGCTCGTGTCCTTGTTGATTTCACCACCTGGTTTCCTTCTCTTGCAGGAAACTGAAGCTGGAGAAAGAGCTGGCTGGAATGCTGTGGAGGATTCGGTGGGAGGACCTTCAGTTCGAGAGCCCCAATAAATACTACAAACGGGCGGGCAGTCGCCTCACCCTCTCACAGGTACTTCTCAGACATCACTGTAGGTACAGATGAATGTACCTGCACTGTCAGATACATTTATTAGAAAGTGTGCAGGTGAGGTAAACAATCGTACCAAAGCGCTCTGTGGCTTTAGATTTAAAAACACCCCCATGATCTCATATTACAACTGGCAGCTCCGATCATAATTCTGAGCTTTATATCCCCGAATACTCCGACAGTGTTGCTGGCTCGGCCTCCAGTGTGTGATTAACACGTTGTAGTTCTTCTGGCATCTTACACTGCCATGTCTGCAAGTGGGATAGACTGAACACTGTGCCACAGCTTTCATTCATACAGGACCGATTGTGCATTTCGTCCTCTTAACTATAGTTGAACGACTCCAAAAAACGATAAATCCGACGTTGGGGAGTACTAGAGAAAGGCGCGCGTTGTGAAACGGTCACAGTTTGAAACACAGGATAATGATATACATTTGAAAAAAGCCATTGGTTAAGTATAGGAAAATATATTGGTTAGGGTTGAGTTAAGTGCATTGCATGAGTTAACTTGTAAGGTAATAAAAAGGAAACGTCTGGTTTTGGATAAGACATATGGCGACCATTTTAATGTTATCCGGTGATTCAATTGTTGTTGTTAGTGTTTCATCTGATGTGGCTCAGAGAGGTACTTCTACACGACCTATACGTTCATCACTTTCATGGTTGATTGAGAAAAAAGTGGAAACAACATTGTTTTATACGTTCTGTTTTGCACGAGCAAAAGTAACTCAACGTTCACGAAACTACAAAACTACCACTTCTTTATGTTCAGGCAACAAAACTTGTGGTTAAGTTTAGGTTATTAACAAGGTTTGGTTTAAAAATCATTGCAAGTTTGCGGTAAAAGTGAGATTCATTCAACACAAAGAAAACAACATGTTGATTTCCGGCAAGTTGCCAACCCTAATCTCCTGGGGTTAATGCTGCGTTGTATGTCCAGTCCCCAAACTGCTTCCCAAACAACACTTCTCATCTTCCATCAATTTCCGTTCGCCCTTTATTGCAATTCAAATATTGCTATTTTCTCTCTCTGTGTACTATTCAGAACCACATGCAGTATATCTGTCTGATTACCACCTAAAAAATGTGAATTTAAACACTTGAGAACATTTAATCAGGGGGCCTGGGATAAAAGTCAAGTATCTGTTTGACCAATTCATCCCCCCCAACCTATTCCTTATGCCCCTTTACGTCTGGACATTACATTAACCTGATGCTCTCATCCAAAGCTACTTACGATATGTGCAATCAACCATGGAGATACCAATTTTAGAACAGTAAGAATACTGCAAGTAAATAAGCCACAGTGGGTTCCCCCCCATTCGCCTCACAATAAAAGTAAACAAGGGTCTTAATTGTCTGGTGTGAAGACGCCTATACAGTCATATTTTGGGGAGGGTGGTCTGGATTATCAGTTTGAAAAACGCTAATGTTGACGTATTCTAAGTGTTTACACACTGTGTGCTGTGCATTAAATGGTCTTTGTGTTTTTTCTTAGAAAAAGCGAAGCTTCAGCCTTGAGAGAGTCCAAGTCTCTTTGCGAGTTCACACATTCCTGAGAGCTTTCCTGGTGGTTTATTGAAGGTGGCTGGGTTTCGCGGCGGCATATCAAATGATTGTTAAAATAAGCCCCCGTCTGGCCCCGTCCCATACACATGTAATACCTCATCACGCTCTCCGAGTATCACTTTCTGTTGTCTGAGGGCTAATGCATCTCCTCGGGGTTATGTTTCGTCTCCACACGTGCAAGCACTCATGAGAAGCACATGCACACACCTTTTTCATTAGCGGTTTTCCATGCAATTCCTGGGATAATGTGCATGTGGAAAACACAAGCCTTTTCCAGACCAATGTATTTTCCAGCGTGCCATGTGTTGCCAATATTTGCATTCTATACAAAATGTGTACTTTACTGTGCTGGCGGTGTGTGTGCAGGGCGCCCACTTGATTTCTATTCACTCTGTGTGCACTGCAGACATTAGCCCTGGAGTTGGTGGTATAAAAACTGAAAGCACTTTATGTTCTTGAATTGGCAATTTCATTTATTTCGGATAAGGATATCAGCGGACAAACCCTCTCTATGAAGCAGAAAATTACCCATATTTAAATCCTCTTTTCTATAATCTTAACCTCACTAACTGACTTATCTTTTCCTTTCCACCTTCTCAGAGAGGCTCCAGCTACGGCTCCCTGATAACTGCCCATGGAAAATATCAGCTATTTGCAAAAACGGGCTATTTTAAGGTAAGGCTTAGTGAGTTCTGACATTTTCAACTCCTGCGCACTCCTTCCCCTCCCACACATGTGCACACTCGCAGAGAAAAGCCGGAGCGCTGGAAGAGAGAGAAAGACAGAGTGTGGGCGAATTTAGGTAGTTGGTTTTAATGTGAGCTGCAGAATGCGTCAATTTCTTCTTCTCTATTTTTTTTTTCTTGCTTTGTTTTCTACTCTTTCTTGCCTCGTAGTCTGGACATGGCCATCAACTTGTTGGCGCCGTTAATTGATCCGCTTAAGACGGAAGGAGGTGTGAGGCAATGAGACAAAAAGATCCTGAATAATGAGACGTCTTTGTGTATGGCTGCATGATGCTGGGTTTTTATTTAAATAGTGATGTTATGCTTCAGCTTGAACGCCTCATGGATCATTAGAGGCACTGATATGCTTCTCAAATTATGATTAAGTCTGACACCGAAACTCAAACACAGACAGCCTCGACAAAACACCGGAAAATAACTCCTGAAATAAAGTGGGTTTTTTTGTTTGGCTGTCAGAAGCCAAATGTATCTGCTTTCAAACATACGCCCATCATCTTCTCCTTACTGTTATTGGATAATATAAAAGAATCAAGCTCACATGGACTCACACATGATTTATAAAGTTGCTACGGCAGCGCTTTCCTGCAGTCTGTGTCTCTGAGATACCTCGCTTTCTTTCTTACTGATCCTCACATATCAAAGGGACATATACGATTGTGCAGCCGCAGACTAAAATAGGCCCAGAATGTACCTGAAGGCTGCAAAATGCTGCTCCTTTCTCTCAACGCTGCTTTGCATCCTCTACATTTTCACTTTCATTGTCATCTGTGTGTTGTTTTATTTTCATTGTTCTCTTTTTGTGCACACAGGGGAACCTGGTGGCCATCAAGCATGTGAACAAGAAGAGGATAGAGCTGACAAGACAAGTTTTACTGGAACTCAAACATGTAAGTGTCCATTAAATGTGCAGTTGTAGGTTTCGTTCGTATGTACAGTATCTAGCCAAAAAGCAGTGTTTCTGAAAGCATTGCCAACTGTACAACATAAAGGACTCTATCCTGGATTTGTAAACTTAACAAATGTTCAAAAAAAGAGAAACTTGCAGTGTTTTTTGAGGAGATCTTGCAATGAAGTATTTATTTATTCCTGCAAAGTATATTGAGCACTCTGTAAATCATCTGCAGTGAGTCCAAGATGCAGCGGCAAGGCTCTCTCACTGGATTCCCATTACAGTTCAATACATATCAAATTCCATCATTAGGAATTAAATCCATTGGCTCCACTGTATATTTCTGACCTTCTGAACACAAATTGGCACATTAATATGACCAATAAAAGTTCCTCTGACAGTTTCTAAGTCTTGATTTGCTTACACTTTTATTACCTAAACTATTCATAATCCATGCTGCAACCACTGTATTTTCTTTTCGAAAATATTTAAAAAAGTGAAATACTTAAGTCAAACTCTTATGTATTTTGGGGGGTAATGGTACTGTGTCTGTACTGCTCACATTTCCTCTGTTAGACTCTTTTCTTTAAAAGAAGAAGGTTCCTATCTGAGTGTTTATATTGTCCTCGGTGTTAGACTTGTGCGGCTCGGGGGTGAATTGTGATATTTCTATTTCAACAAGTTGTTTAGCAAACCATTCACATGTACATCGAACAACCATGAATTGACATCGTTGTGCTCAGTGCAGGGAAAAGACCTTCATACAGTGTTTAAACACTCCACCTGCTTTATAACAAACGCTACCGAAAAGGCCTCTAATAAAGCTGCATTTGTTTATTTCTCTGATTTGTGGCAGTAAGTGGCTCCCGGCCTATTTTTAGCATGTTCAAGCAGCACCACTACAGGATATTAAGTGTTCGACATACTTAAAGGCAGACTTCACATACATAATAAACATTTGTACGCGTTTTCTTGCATTTGTGAAACGCATTTTTCTCACATGGAGTTGTTGAACCAAGGGAAAGTAACCCTAACCCAAGTCAATTAAGGTAAATGGGGCAGCATTTAATGACAGACAACTTTATCAAAACATCAGTTTACAAACTTTGGCACAACTCGTGTTTCACTAAAACATTAACACTTAAAAAGTTCAACTTCAATAAACAGTGATCGTGCAAACTATAATGCAGATTGGCAAGCGTGAGGCTGTTTATTTTAATTCTTAAAAACTAGTTTGTGACAGTTTTTTAAAATTGTGTTTTGAAAGATGTTTTGCAGCCAACATTTCAATCAATCATCAAGACTTTTCTCAAATTTTTGGGAACATTTGTTCACTGTTGAATCGGTAAGAATCAGAAACGGGTTTATCACCAGGTAGGTTCACACGTACGAGGAATTTGACTAGGTGTCGTGGTGCATACATACAAATAAAAAGCAAAAAATGTAAAAAAAAAAAGAACACAGATAGCGAACTATATTAAGAACACTGTAATACAAATAGTAAGATAGCAATAAAATAAATCAGTAATTTACATTGAAATAGAATGCAATAAATTATAGAATTTAAAAATATGTGCAGTAAGCAATATTGTCAACATTGACATGGAGTCTATGATGTGGCATCAGAAGGTTAGGGTTAGGGTTCGAGAAACCAATGTAACACTGGGTGAGTGGTTGATAAACTTCACTTGGGTGAAGCGTTGCCCCTCTTAAGCATCAACAGCAACAACAAGCTCCATTTAGTTGGGATTTATTTTTTACGAGACAGCGATAAGGAAGCCGACAGGGGAAAATGTTAGTGGTCTGCTGATGGAAACACAGTGTGGCACTGGTAAGCCCATAACTCGGAAATTACATGGGTGCTCATGAACCAGATTTGTGGCCGTCTCTTCACTTTTTTACAGCTCTTGCTCCCTTATTTTGCGTGTGAGCTGCAGCCCGCTGGTGGAGAGCAGTCTGGGCTCCCTGGACGCCTCTGTGGCCTCTCGGTCAGTAGGCAGCACTCATGGGGTGGTAGGGGGGCTGCTGTGCTGTCTGAGCTGGCAGATTCTCAGACGCCACAAGGGCCTGATCGGCTGTCAAACCTCAGCTCATGAAAAAGCCAACCAGATGGGGGAAGAGACGGGGCTTGCCAGTGGAAACTTAACCACTTGTCTTCCAGCTCCCTTTCCTCCTCCTCCCCCCATGTGGTGGTTCGACTCCCCCTCTCCACCAGTGTTCAGCAGGGGAAATTATATAGGCCAAAGGGTAGGCTAACATCTCAGGAGCCGTGAAACAGGAGCGAATAAGTCCCTGCTTTAGGTGCGAACGCGGCTGTCACTCAGTGTGCTCAAAGAGAAGTACACTGTTGGAACTGTTGAAGACCTTTTTTGTAGTTAATGCTGGCTACTTTTAATTGCTCTTGCATATGACTGTTTTATGCTTGTTTCTCATTAAAAAGGAAAGTGTTCCCCTAATCACTTCACTGCAGAAACCTCTATTTTTGTAGAGAAACCGGTGTGATTATTTTCTATGTCGAGCAGTTGTAAACTTTCTGCTCTGCTCTGATATTCCTGCCCCGTACATCCTCTCGACACCTCAACCTTCTTTTTTTTTTCATCATCCTTCGCACACAGGCTCATTCATAAACCTCCAAGGGCAATTTATGCACATGCACATGTTTCAACAAGGGTGCCCTGAGCAGGAATGCGTCTCAACACGTCGAGAAAGAACACCGTGCCAAACGAGCCGACTGCAAATAGACTATTTTGAAGAACTGCTGGCAGCGTTATTCTTAAAAAACGTTGTATATAAATGAACCGTCAGTCTGCTGTTTCCATGGGGTTTGTGAATGTGATGTTTGGAAAGAGTTGCACTCACAGTTGCAGTGTGTTTGTGTGGTTATTTTCAGATGAGAGACGTTCAGTTCAACCATCTAACCAGGTTCATCGGAGCCTGCATCGACCCTCCCAACATCTGCATCGTCACCGAATACTGTCCCAGAGGCAGCCTGCAGGTAACACCCCCCCCCCCCCCCACTCATATACCCTTAACAGTGTCTGTACCCTATTCAGTGTTTACTAATAGTAAATATGTTCAAATTTCCCCAATTGGGTACCCAGGAAGGACGACCTGTTCCTGAGATTTTATAATTTGTTTTCTTTCTCAAAGTGTTCTCATTAATTATGTTTCTCTCTATTTTTAAGAACATTTTAAATATATTAAACATTGAAAAAGTGATGAGGACTACAGTGTTCCCAGGGTAATGATGCCCATGTCAGTGAGGCATTATGTTATTAAGTATGTATAATTTGCTGAAAGCTCTGGAACAGAAATCGGAACATTTGGTAAATTATTTTGTTGATATATAAAATGTTTTTTACTTGAGGGATTTTGCTATCTTGGTAGCAAAAAACAGTCAAAAGTCATTGGTAAAAACTGTTTTTGGTTGCTTACTTCTTTTAGATATGATGAGGGACACCAGAAGGCTGCTTTTACATTCATTGTTATGGGGAGAAGGTTTATCTCCAATACATATACGAGCAGATTTTGTGACATTTCGTCTTTGCCTGGAGACCTATTGTGGTCCAGGATGCAACCTCTTTAAGTGTGAAGGTCACAACATATTGAGTAACAAAACAATAACTAAATAGTTCTTGTAACGGGAAGTGAATCTGGGTGGACCCTAGTGCACTTAACTGCAGCCAATAGACCATAACTGTGCTGTACTTCTTTAACATTCAAGCATCTCTTGTTCCTTAACCATTATACCACATTTAATTTAGGATCTTTTGTCAGGTGAGAGTGGTTCTACCTAGAAACAAACTGAGATTGTTTAGGGATCAATACATAGTACACACAGTACATTAAAGTGTTGCCTTAATAATCGCTGAATAAACATTTTCTAACATAAGCCAACCTAAGTAACTTTCCTTGTTACAGCATCAGGAGTATAAACCTTTCTAGCATAAACAATCTTGTAAATGTTCTATTCCTAGCAGTGTTTGAACCAAGTTTTTCAATGAGCTTTCCAACACGGGTCTATTTAGTCTAAGCTTACAGTACGAGGACAGCTCACCTTGGAAGTCTGACATATTTTAGTCTAATGTTAATTATTTTGCCATTTGTATTCTTTTTATTCCCATAAGAAGTGCATGATGCCTTAAATGAACTTGTTGTTGGCCAGCACTCTGAGTTCCCCACATGCCAGCGGCCTCTTTAAATGGACGAGCTGGAAACAGTAGGAAACTCAGCCATGGTCTTCATCACTCACACTCAGAGAGACTCCTGTGCAAAAGGCAGATAGCTGACACTGATGTGATGTGGCTGGATGTCAAAGCTGGACCCAGATTCCAGTAAACGTCCTGCAGGGAAAAGTGTTTGACCCTGAGGACGGACAATAATATACTGTGCAGTATCTGGACTGAAGGTGGTTCTGGACTTAGTGCCAAAAGAAAATCCCTCCTGCCGACAAGCTCTTGTATTTTTTATTTTGTGTCTGTAAAACATTATTTATCGATGTTTTTTGTTTTGTTTTCCCAGGACATTTTGGAGAATGAGAGCATCAACCTGGACTGGATGTTCCGCTACTCTCTGATCAATGACATAGTGAAGGTATGTGACGCTCACTTAGAAAGCTAAGAAAAAAAAGAAAGACAGAGATCAAATCCAAAACAATGGAATATATGAAAGCCCTGAGATGCAAGTGAGAAGAAAATATATGAAATGTATCCTGGTAAAACTTATCTTTAGTCAAAATCAATTTAGATCAGTCTTAGAAAATGGATCACCAGAGTATTTGTTCCATTTTTGTTTGTAGTGCTTCCTCAGATTTTTTTCATATAATTGTTTGCAAAAAGGTCGCTTTTCAATATGAAATTAGATGCTTTTGGTCTTTGAGACACACAAAAAAATGCTTCTCTTTCCATCATGTCACATGGAAAGTTTGTGAAACTGTAAAAAGAAAAAAGAATTAGAAGGACCAACAGGCACAAAAAAATGTTTATATTGCTTTTATAACGTGCAAAGAAGGATGGAAATATATTCATAAACGTAGCTTTAACTGTCCTTCCAGCCTAATGAAACTAATCATGGATTTAAATCAGAAGATTATTTTTAATCTGTCCTCACAAAGAGGCTTCTGTCAGAATCCACTTGGATGGATTGGATATTGAACTGCATGCATGACGGAGCTCTCCGGCTACATTTCTCCACACAGATAACTGCACTCTGCAGAGAAGAGGGGTGTTTGACTCACCGTTTCCACAACATATTGAACACAAGCACATTCAGTCCCCTCAGTCCCTTTCCCAAAGGAATTAGCAGTCATTTGACAGAAATTCCCCTGACACTTTGCCCTTGAAACACGGCCTCTTTTCAAGAAAACCTTCAGCATACATCCACTTCTCAGGGTGTATTATTTCCATATGTCTGGATTTGTGTGTTATGTGTGACTTGCTGTGGAGGAAAACAAAAAAATGCTTGACTTCTCCTCTCTACCAGGGAATGAACTATCTCCACAACAGCTACATTAGCTGCCACGGAAATCTGAAGTCATCTAATTGCGTGGTGGACAGTCGATTTGTTTTGAAAATCACGGATTATGGCTTGGCCAGCTTCCGCTCGTCCTGCGAAAACGATGACACGCACGCACTCTATGCAAGTAAGTGGAGTTCATGAATACGGCGGCAGCATTAAAAGTTATTATCCTATCAGTAAAACGTCAGCCGTCAGACATTTTATGAGTTCTTCTGCTTTTTGGTTTCCCAGAGAAGATGTGGACCGCTCCCGAGCTACTCATATACGACCGCCATCCTCCTGAAGGCACTCAGAAGGGGGATGTGTACAGCTTTGGCATCATACTGCAGGAAATAGCCCTGAGGAATGGACCGTTTTATGTGGAGGGCATGGACCTCAGCCCCAAAGGTAAACAGAGTGTCTTTCATAGGCCTCACCGAGGTCAGCTGACCACTCAAGCATGCAGCAAACAAACATGTAAACACAAAAAAGAGACATTTAAACGGATAAGTCTGTTTTTTGTGTCGGTAAATCATAAACAAAACCATATATTGGTTACGTTATGTAGCTTGAAACTACTCTGAGAAGTGTTTCTGAAGAGTGAACATACTCACTCAATAGGAACTTCATTCATTGGCTTCTCCCTGACATTTCAAAGGGGACCCTGGTAAGGTCAGACTACTTTATCGCAGCCCTGCAGCTCTGTACACAAACACAGAACACATGCTGTCCAGATGTCAAAGGCAGGTGGAGTCACAAAAACAACATGTTTCATAGCTGGGTCAAGAAAATGTGACATATACCAAAACAAAGCACACAAAAGAGACCACGAGCTAAATAAGATTTGTCCTGTATTTAGCGAGGAAGCTGCCAATGAGACAAACTAAATAAAGGAATAAAAACCAGTAAAACACAACAGGTAGCTGAAGGCAACAGCATCAACAGCAGCAAGGCAGCCAAGTCGAAAGATTTCCTTTACGGGAAAGAAAAGGTTTAAGTTTAAAATCCTACATTTACTAGAAAATAAATCTTAAAGCATTAACGTTGATGTTCTCTGACATTAAAGTCTGTAATTAACGACGGACACATTTTAAATTTATAAAGAAAAATAGGACTTCCACCACTTTGCATGGTTTAATAAACCTCATCAAAGTTAAGATGCTGCTGCTTGCAATGCATTACTCCTGCAGTGGATTACTTTGCAATCATATTGTGAAATCAAGAAATACTCATGATTAAGGCAAAGAATTGTTAACCATACTATCATGAACATTTCGAATTTGAAGAGACCTATTGTCCTGAATCGGCGTCTGTGGGTTGATCCGAAGTTGCAAAGTGTTTTATTCTGAAATGTACAACTTTTTTTGCTACATTACATACACTTTAAGTTGAGCCTAAAAAACATCAAAAAAGGAAAGAAATTGGTTCAAAGTAGCTCATAGCTAGAAGGCTAACAGTAGCCTCAATATGACATCATTATTGTGAAAAAGATACCTTTGGACAGCAGCTTTCCTGAGAAATCTTGCTTTGCAGTAGCTTTCTCTCACAGGAAAAACACATTGTTGTTATCTTCTTAAATTACCGAAGCCTAAAAAAATCAGAGCTTAATCACTGCTGACACTTCTGCTCCCAAGCTTCCTGCACACATGTTGCGGTTTGACCGGTTTCTTCACCCGCATCTACTTTTACCTCCACTGCTGTTTCTTCTTAGCGACGGCATGAAAAGCTTAACCTAGAAAGCAATTTGAGATCAGGAGTTCAACCTTTACGCATCCAGAGTGGAAGTCTGAAACCCTCCCGAGGCGCTTCCTCCATGTGCAGATTTTGATGAGCCTTTTATTCAATGGCACGCTCAATGCTGATTGTACAAGTGCCTGAAAGTCATTAACAAGCTGAGAGCGTGCAGCGCCGGCCTGCACCTGTTCTCCAATGTCAGAGCGTTATTCTGTGCTTAAAAAAAACTACTTCAAAACTGAAAGGAGAGAATTTGGAGGACTCATTTTGGGCAGGAAGTCTCTTATGAACTTTTTGATTGATATAATTAACTCATCACAGAGGAGAAATATGAAAGTCTGAATATATTAAGACTCTTCAAGCAGGAATAGCACATTAACGGAAATACAGAACTTTCAAATGAATATCAATATTCCTGAAATTCTAGGTTTAAGAAGTTAGTGATCAGCAGCTGCAGAGATTAATTACCCCACGTTTACAAAAGAGACAATAAAATGTAATCATCTCAATTTAAACGTTTGTAAAAGACACCCGTTTTTTGTTTTTTTACCTCTTCCAAGATGTTTGAATGTAAGTTTAAACGTGAGACTTTATAGTCAACTCACAAACTTTGCAGATGAAAATAAATTAAAAGGCTCTTTCGGCATGCGTACATTGAAATGATATTGTCTCATTTCACATGTGGCACGGGCATTCGGAGTAATTATATAGAGGTATCCAATATTGTTGCTGATAGTCTTGTTTGCTTATGTGGGTCATACAGAGCCATGAGTATTAATTGTTTCATAACCAGTAAATAACTCTCTGTACTTTCTTTAAATAAGCCGGTATGGTCTAATGAAACATTCAAAATCACCATAGATATGTGGATTCATTGTAAAGCCACTAAAAAAAGGCATCTCCGAATTCATTACTGAAGGTTGTTTGAATATCAGTTGTTTGAGTTGTATTGTCCACCCCCACATACAAAAGTACAGTTAGACCAGTGGTTCTCAACTGGTCAGGCCTCGGGACCCACTTTTTACTTGGTCAATACATCGCGACCCAACATTTTGAAGCAATCAAATCTATTCAACAAAAAAACGTGCTGTAATATATACGCTTTTCAGCATACAATATTAATACAAGTGAAGTACAGTGCATATATCCCTTATATCCCTTAACAGAACTAAAGTATGCTTTTAAAAAAGGTTTGATGAGATGATGGAATCAAAGCTGAACTATATAAAAAGGCACACATGCTGAAAACCCAACCCCAGCAGGGGGGTCTGGGGGGATTCTCCCCCAGGATACTTTTCGAAATACTAACATAAACTATACATTCTGGTACACTCTGAGAAGAAAATAAATACATCTATCACTACCCGACATATTAATAATATTTTATGCCATTATTTGTTTTTCACTTTGTTCTGACATCTTGCTGCTTGCTGCTCCACACAGAGAGAAGAGCAAAGAGAAGATAGTCTGTGTGACTTACTTTAAATTGTGGGTAAGGGTAGATAGCCCCCATTGTTCTGTGACCTGTCAATCATCAAACCGGGGGTCATATTTCATTATGTGTTCATTTTTATCTGAAGTTGTACCCATGGATATATAAAGAATAGTTCTACTGCAAAGTTATTCTCCGTGGGGACTTCCGGCAACAATCTTGATTCTGATTGGCCAGAAGACTCGAAAAAACATCAGCAAAGATATTTAATTGAGAAGATGATCACTACTTGACAGAAGTTTTCAAAACCGTTTATGGTCTCCGGTACTTCCAGTCTAACGCCGACTGCATGCACGGCGTTAGAAAATTGGGCCTTCAAAATAAAAGTTTGACCCACCAGTTGAGAACCACTGAGTTAGTATTCATTTTCACAGCATGAATGACATGTGAGATGATGGCCGCCTGCCCTCTCATTCACAGAAATCGTCCAGAAGGTGAGGAACGGTCAGAAGCCGTACTTTCGGCCGACGACGGACAACAAGTGCCACTCTGAGGAGCTGACCATCCTGATGCAGGGCTGCTGGGCCGAAGACCCCGCGGAGAGGGCAGACTTCGGCTACATCAAGATCTACATGGCCAAACTCAACAAGTAAGTGCCACATTTCATATTTTTTAATTACCCAGTCTCATGTGCAAGAGTCTGATCACGCATATTACCAAAAACCACCTCAGGAATCAAGACATACAGTGTGGTGAGTAAGACCATAGACCATAGGGAAGGCCATACGACTGTTAAACACCTGAACTAAGAACATCCATAACATTCACGTGTTTGCAACTCACAAATTATGGATCACTTGTACATATGTAAGTAGACTCTTATGGCACTACTTATATTCGATTTTATTGTATTTACTTGCACTATTGTATCTGTTTGAGGAGCCTGGGACCTAAGATTTTCATTGACATAACTACACTGTAGCTATGTACGAATGACAATAAAAGCCTTGAATCTTGAATCTTGAAACATTTTGGGGTAAATTGTCCATTGTTGTGACTGAACCCGTGATCAATTGAACGTTTCCTACACCATCCTTTTTGTTCAAAGCGGAGATGATTTGACAAATTCAATTCGACGGAGGTTGCTCTTTCTCAGACTATTAGTTTCTCCCCTGCCAACTCAACATGTGAACACCGTGTTGAAAACCTCGCTGCCGTGCGAGTCGATACGTTGAAGAGACTCGAGCAGACAAACAGGAAAAGGAATCATGTTCTGGGAATCACCCGGACAATTTTAGATAAAAGGCTGTTTGTGATTCCTGACAGCAAGGGCTCTGAGCTGCCTTCCCATCTCTGACTGTGTGTTTGTCTAGGAAAGTGTGAGTCAATGTTTCTGGTATTGTTTTCAATGATCTCATGAATTATTCATATGCATATTTAGTTTTTCTGTTGACACAGGAAGAGAAGCACAATAGCTTTCCCACGAGCAGGACAACTCTGTCAGAAAGAGTTACTTAATGAAGCATCACTGCTGAAAGTGACACACACATATAACACACATTTAAATTATAGCGTATAAAAGGATTGGCTAATTGTCTAAAAAGTCAGCCAATGCAAAAGTTAAACATGCCAGCAGGGGTCGACTCATGGTTGGAAAAACAAGTCTGATTGTCTTGAAGTCTGTGAGAAAATGACCCTAGTTTTTACTCGATTAATTACCTAATTTATGGTTTTACAGGATCGTTAATTTCAAATCTTCTTCATTTTGTAAATAGAGCTCCTGAGCCAGCATTTTTGCTCATCTCGAAGTCAATGGGTTATGGAATAAGGTCTGTGTTTTACTCAAGCGTAAGAGATTTCGCATTTTGTTAAGTAAAATTAAGTTAAATTGTGCATAAACTTAGGACATCTGGAACATTTCAATTTGATGTACCAATGCAGCCATACAATATAATTTTTTTTTTAAATATACTGCATGTGTATCTGTGACATTTCCTTAATATGTAGGACTCCACACACGATGTAGGAAAAAGGGTAAATGTTTTCAAGGTGTTATAGGGTATATTTAAGGTGTTTGTATCAGGATTGCGGGGATGGATTTTCTTGCTGCCAGAGGTTATAATGTTCTGCAAGCAGAAGGTGGACCTTTCTGTTCATTGAGTTGTGACGTGCAGATCAAAACACTGGTCATGGTTCATTTAACTGAATTGCAACTTGGAATTTGTTACTTCAAACCTGATAATGCTGTATGGGATCCAGCTTAGCTTTGGATCTGTTACAGCCGGGCTCATAGGCTGCAACAAACAACCCCAAATCTAACCCCAACGCCAACTCTCCAAAGCCTACAGCGACAAAACATAAATACACAAACAGAACCACCAAAACTCTGCCACAAAAACTCATTGTGGGATATTCAGCATTAACTTGAAGATTTTAATTCTACTCATTGCTGAAGAAGAGACTGTTATAGCGCAATCAACTGCCAAAGCAACTAAGTTGACACTCTTACCTAACCAAGTTAGCTATGGTGGCTACGTTTGTTAGCTCGTAAGTTCAAGTCCAGCTTTAGAATAGAATAGAATTGGGAGGGATGAAACCCTCTTTAATGGTCACACATGCAGAGCACACAGCACACACAGTGAAATGTGGCCTCTGCATTTAACCCATCCTTTATGTCTGCTGAAATTTGAAATTATTATTAGGCTACTTTAATGGTGAAGGGCCCTTTACGATAAGCACAGATAATACTCAGTGCTATTAAAAGCAGCGATCTGAAGCGTGCTTAAACAAATTCTCTATCAAAGTGAAGACTTCAGCGCCTTTGTTGTTTTTTGTCAAAGCCCATTGACATCACCTTGTTTTTGGCGAGTTCAAGGCCGCTTTGACGTCAGATGTTTCAGAGTCGGATGCCAAAGACAATTAAATTCATGAGCTAGGCATTTGTGAAACAAATCCGTGAGACTACAGCTGCGCTGCTTTGTGCAATACGGTATTGTAAAGTCTTTAAACCTTGAACCTCAAGAAATAACAGTATTCAGAGGAATGTGATGGGGAGGATAAATACAAATGTTTGCATTAAAAGGGCGCTGATCTCAGATGATTCATGGATGTGAATAGGTTTTACATTTAAACGTTATCTGTGCCAATATGCTTAATCTCTGGAAAGTAACCTTGGATAAAGCCAGATTTAATAACGTTTTGCCATGGTTTTAGAAATAAAATATTCTATAAATTAGGCTATAAAAGATATTAAAATAAACCCCATATGTAGGAATAAAGATATGCGTCGATCTGGAAAGTTTGGTGCATGTAAGTGCTACTGCAATATTAAATATGTAATTAAATAAAAGATGTCTGGCTCCGGTTTCAAAATGCAAATGAAGAAAGCTAAAGACACAGATAGTAACATAAAAACCTAAACACTAGTCTGAAAAAGTACATGTTATGGAAGCAAACCAACCCAAACTTTCTGTTTTTGCCTGTAGTGTCTCTCCTTAAGATGCTAAGATCCACAGAAGCTACGATCCTAAAAACAGCTGTACAAAACTCGAATTGTTGGAATCTGAAGGCAGGTTGTTTGGAAGTCTCTCTATAAACAGATCTGTGTGTGTTTCCTGTAGCCCGACCTCTCCCCTGTTAGCTCACTGTGTTAATGCAGGATGCGCCAGTGATGTATAGCTTTCCATTTGCAGTCATTGGAGTAGAGAGCCCTGTGTGTGATTGACGGCCTCAGAAGCACTCAAGGATGCTCTTGAAAGCCGAGCGCTAAGCCCCTCCTCCTGTTTACGTCCCCTTCGCCTCTGAGGACCTATTGCTTTGTTTCCCGGTTATTTTCATTAGGTAAATGCATGTTGTTGACATGACGTGATGGATGGGCTGTTATTTCTGGTGTTTGAGCTCTGGCTTGAAGGACGCGGTAACGAGAGGGTAAACCGGAGCTTTAACCCACACAGGTAGCGGACCTTCCCCTGAATAACTGACCTCTCCCTGAGCACATCAAATCTCCCACTGTACATGGTCCGGGAATGAGTCCTGAAACCTGAAAATGAGTTAGCATCCGGTTCCCTCATCTAAATCATTGGTTTTTTTTAACTTGCGGTTAACAAAACCTCAAGAGATTTTTTACGTTTTGTGCTACGACATGATATACGTCAGTAAATACCCCACTCATGAATGTCCAAAGCCTCTATTAAACAAAATGTGGTTGCTAACATATGACGAAATGACTTTACTCACCTTTAGCTTAGCGATGCTGACGTGAAGTTATGCGATCGTATGTAGCTGGATTTTAACTTCTGTCGATTGCATTTATGTTTCAAAAATCATAAAGTGTAGTTAATATGTGGAGATTATCCTGCTGAGCAAACATCTAAGTATCATAAACATGTTTTTATACTCTGAAATATTCCGATATCCAAAGGAAAAATCTTGTTGCTTTTTGTCAAGGGATCCCTTGTGATACTATCTTTCAGGGTGGGGCTTTAAAAATGCTTCACTACGCTTTTAAAATGTTTTCTTACATATCATAACATATGTTTCTTTTAAAAGTCTCAGACATCAGTGCAGAGATTTAAACTTCCTGAATGCTAAGCCTCTTTGTAAACAAGAAAGCACTCAGAGAACACTTCCCTCTGCCAAGGCCCGCAGTGTTCTGCATTTGTTTTATAAATAGTAGTACATGTTTTTACACTGTAGCTTTTAATCAGCGCCTGGATCCAGATCTGTGTGATGACAGCCATGATGCTATAAAACATGAAATCCTGGAAATTACAGCTTTGTACGAATAACTAAGTCTTATGAACTATTGTTATAATAGTCTTAAAATATATATTTTTAAATAGCTGTCATAACAGTCCTATTTCTATTTTGTTTTGCTACGTATTCTTCTCTCTGTGTCTTTGTATGCACCACAAACTAAAGCAAATTATTTGTATGTGTAAACCTACTTGGTAATAAAACCCATTCTGAAAGCTGAGGTTCTTTTTTTAAATATAATTTAATCAGGCTGCTCTGTGCTCATCTCCTGGTGAAATCACATTTTACAGGATCACTCAGATTTCATATGTGGAAATCTAATGTATTTTAGTAGTAATGGCACAACGTGTTCAATAGTTATTGCGGCTGTGGCTCAGTGGGTAGTGTGCTGGACTTCGAATCAGGGGGTAGCAAGTTTGAGTCCCACTGCAGTCAGCATGTCGTTGTGTCCCTGAGACACTTCACCCCAAATTGCTCCTGTGGGGATTGTCCACAGTATTGAGTATGTAAGTCGCTTTGGATAAAAGCGTCTAACAAGTAACATGAAAATCAGTCAATCTTTTTCTAATAATGTAGGTTTCATGGAAAGAAAAGTCATTTTGTATGAACTTGTAAGGAAAACATGGTCCAAAGTCAGACCACTATTATTATAAAATATCTGCTTTATTTACTTATAAAAAGGACAGTGAATGATAGTTGATTATTGAAAACTATGTATTGGTATTTTATTTTTATATTTCTTGTTATATGCTTGACTGTAAACTCATTTCACATGCTACGATAATAAACGTTATTATTCTGGGAAGACACACAGTGTTACAACAAAGACAAAACTATTTAAAACTCAAGTCAAATATTGCAAATTACTTTTGAAATGAAGATAATAAAATAATAAAACCATAATACATTATGCATAAACCTTAATGCAATGGCGCCTGCATTCTTACATGTTTTACGTGACCCGCCGTGCCGACTAAAAGCCTTGCTCAGTTAAGAAGCAATCAATTATAATGAATCAAATGGAACAACTGTAAACTGTGTTCATTATCCTAAAACCATAACCAAATTACAACTACCTGTCCATTAGCCTTCCGTTTAATTTACAGTTACATAACAATCCCTTTAGAGAATATTAGAGGAAATAAATTGTTACTGGCTCCTAAAAGGATATATAAAATCCTCCGACTTCATAGAATAAGAGGCTCTAAAAAAAGCATAATTCTTCTGGTTTTCTAATAACTGTAGTTTGTTTTATAGTTTTTTGTGCATGTTAATGCTCTGCAAAGGCTAACATCCCAAAGTTTCCATGGCTGAACTTACCACAACACTCCAATGACAATGGTCAAACTTTTATCCCTCAATCACACGAAAATAAGTATATACTATACAGTATATACGTATATAAAACTGACATTTCTTAGTTTTCGCCGGTACTATGAGTTTGGATGAATGGAAGGAAAATATGGATGTCTGTGATTGGCGGTGCGGTAAACACTGCGTGGCCTTTGTGTTGCATTTGTTCTCATCATCGTCTTTCATGTCTTCCTCTGATGTGTTGTCCTTTAAACTTAAACTACATGTGGGTGTGTGTAGGCTCCCTGACCCACAACAAACATGGCAGGGGGCCAGGCATTGATGCTTTTAGCCGCCATGGCGCTGTGGATGACTCACCTTCTTGCTCCGTCTGAGTCAATGTGTGTGTGTGTCTGCGTAAGCATATGAATGTAAAAATCCCTTGAGACACAAACATTATACAATACATGGATTATATAATTATAAAATGACTTTTAAATGCTAACATGCCAGCAGTAGAGATGTAAATAGAGACTTTTTATGTATGTTTATATATGAGAGATGCTGTACACAGAGTTACGAATAAATATCTTATTGCTTGAACAGTACTATGCATTGTTGGTGCATTTAAGGTACTGGCCAGAAAGAGAGTTTGTTGTTTTTAAAGTGGTTGCCAATGGTCACAGGTGGCCATGTTGGAGTACAGACAGCAACAGAAAACTCTGTGTCTTCGATTTTAACCTCAGTTATCCACACTGCCATCTAACCTCTGAACTCCCTCACTTTTACACCTATAGATTTAATTTACTCGTGATGGTTGTATCTGCGCATCTTGTGAAACAGTTTCCGTGGGTCTAAAGGAGATTTGTCGAGAAAATAATTCTGATGATGTCATCACTGTTGTCTCAGCTTGGGCCAGGAGACTAAAATGTTTTAACAGAAAGCTGTGTTACAAGCACCGGCAGGGAAGGTTCAATCAAAACATGCTGCTGGTAGCATTATGGGAAATGTGGGATCTAGAGTTGCTGGACTTTGGCACACAGGGGAGTACAAGTTGGGGATATGTCAGCCTGCACTGCCTCAAATGTGTGTTGTGTTTTTATCCAGTTTGCATTCTCCAAATTGTTGGATCTGCATTGCTTGATAAATGTGATCGCTGTAATAGCCATTCAGTTCCACAGATCTGGATAATTTATTGTTTTTATATTGGTTATTAATAACGCCATCTTACTGACTGGATCTTTTCTCACCTCTCAGTGTGCTGATAGCTTCAGTTGGACAGCATATTTAGATAATTCATCATTTTAAAATTGCAGAAAAGGATTTCCACAGGGGTCAATGCTCGGACCTGGACTCTTTTGACAATTAAGGCACCAGATCTGATTGCTAGAGCTGTATTGTAAAAATGTTGTATGTAACCTGATTACATAACAAATGAACTTATTTCAAACCAAATCAGGATCTTAGACCATGTGTCTAAAATAAAGCAACTATTCCACAACCTTTGCTTATCACAGGTACTCTCCAACTGTCACATATGATATTTTTGGAGTCATGGCAAAACCACTTGCTACCAAAAAGAGCAGAAATGACAAAAAATGAACTGCCAGTTTTAGCAGCAGTTTGGAAAAAGACAACACAGCTCTTCACAGACTGAGAGTTTGCATCTAATCACCTAACTGTCCTGTGTGTCTGTGTTTGTGTTTTCCGCAGGGAGGGCAGCACCAGTATTCTTAACAACCTGCTGTCCAGGATGGAGCAGTATGCCAACAACCTGGAGAACCTGGTGGAGGAGCGAACACAAGCCTACCTGGAGGAGAAAAGGAAAGCGGAAAACCTCCTCTATCAAATTTTACCACAGTAAGAACAACCACATTCATACGTTTGTCCTTCCTTCCAAGAGTTTAACAACTCCAATTAACTTGAATCCAGGAAATAGGCAGATTGTCACCAGCGCAGCTAAAAGTAAACTGTGTTAAATCCGTGTTTTAATTAAAGACTCAGAATCCCTCCCAATGCCACACTTTTAGGTACAGATTTCCCCCTGGTGCGATCTCATCGAAAATGAAAGGGTTTGCAGAGAGCTGACAGGCAAAGTGCTCATTAAGGGAGACAGAGGAGCAGATGTGATAGTGCGTTTAGGCGTTAAGATAACACCACAGCAGCAAATCCAATCTTTTCTCACCCATTTATCCTCCGGTCCGTTCTGAAAAAGAGTCACTCCTTTAAGTCCAACCAGACATTCAGAGAACAGCCTGGGAGAAAGGGTGGATATTGTTTCTCACCGCACTTGTGTCTAGGAAGCAATTGCATCGGAAGAGTCTTTTTTTTTTTACTTGCTGTTCTCACTCCCATTAGCTGTACGCAGGTTCATGTCTCAGCTGCGTCTCATGAGCTTGATTGCATATTTTTTCCCCTAAAATGTTACATTCATGATTTAAGTGGTAAACTAACTGAAAGAAATTACAAACTTATTACAAAAAAAACTTGGTTACTGTGTTTTCTTTAATCAACACACACACAAACACCAGGTTAATTCCCAATAGAGCCCGACTATTTAACTACAATTAACATATTTAAGGGTTTTATCGTTATTTTATATTATGTGTATTACATTTGATTATTATCTTTGTTTACTTTTTATCTGACTTTGCTCTTTGTTTTGACGGCAAGTTTTCTAATTGATTGTTGTCTATTTAATTATTTTTCTTTTCAGTTTAACATGTAAATTTTTTATATAACTTTAGTTCAGTGTTTTCCATTGAAAATAACTTTTGTTGTTTTGTTTGAGAAAGTCAATAAACAGCAAAAATAATTAAAATTTTGCCGGCCTTGCTCTGGCTCAGAAAACTGTAACTTGATGCAAATTAACGAGAAAATTGATTAATAAAATTAGCTCAAAAATCAACCCTGACGTGATGTTTCCCACAATTGGTGTTATTTAATTTAGAGACAATCTCTGGTGTCAAGTAAACATCCATCATTATTTCATATTCTCCTCTGATTATTAACTGTCCCTTGCTTCTTCATGATTTCACTGGGAGTATTTTGCCCTCATGTCTCTCTCTCTCTTCACAGTTCAGTAGCGGAGCAGCTGAAACGAGGGGAGACGGTTCAGGCAGAAGCCTTCGACAGCGTCACCATTTACTTCAGCGACATTGTGGGCTTCACGTCCATGTCTGCAGAGAGCACGCCTCTAGAGGTACACAGCAACCCGGTCACTGCAATCCTCCAGTGAATTAAATACCCACCTGTAACTCACTGTTTCTACAGCTTTGTAATGGGGCACTGGAGGTAAAAAGACATTGCAGGGGGAAGGGACTAATATTTAGAGAAAATGATATAGAGGTTTCAAGATAAAAAAAAAAACGTTCCTGGGATTTAATTGGTACATTTACGAGTAAAGATCTGACAATCTACAAGAAAAAAAAATGTATATTCAAGATTAAAGTGGTACATTTACAGGTGAAAAGCATAACATTAACATCAACATTTCAACCTTTAATTCTCCAGTGGATAACCATATCCAATTATTCTTTTCACTCAGATTTAGCAATAAGGAAATATTTGTGATTTGAAAACACTATAATATAAGCTAGTTTATTTCCCTTTCATTTTGGAAATGTTCCTCCCCCTGCTCCATTATTATTACCTTCTTTATCTACAAAGGCCCTTATAAGCCATCAAACCGTCCTCGTGCCTTTATATGTGTTCTGTCTTTTCTCAACAAGAAAGTCTAAAAGCTTGAAAAAAGAAATCCCAGTTCGTGATCACAGCCGGTGAATTGTCTTTCTCTGTTCATACATGAAAGCGCTCTCCAGTAGCACGTCTCTACCTACAGTGTGTCTCATAGTTCCCACAGTGGGCTGCAACTCAAAATAGTACCGTTAAATGTTAGAGATGTTGACGCAGAGTTGAGTCACTTCGTGTCATCACATATCTCTCTCTGAATATCAAAGGGAGGTTTCTCCAGATGAAACATTATCAACATGTTGCATCCAGGAAGAGGACGTGTTGAAGGACAATCTGACACCTTCAGATCGACTGTTTTACCCCCCCAGAACTTCTCATCTTCTCCTTTTCAATCTAAAACCAAGTCTCTGACCAGATATTCATATAGTACAACACAATATCCCATCCAGTTACATATAATCCAGAAATATAGTGACTATACAAGAATATAACTGTATCAAGCTGCTCCCTTTGGTTTCACAAGTCAACTGAATCTACGCTACGTGTATGTACTTCTTTATCCTTTGTACTTCAATCCTGTAAACAATACAGAATGATTCAATTGTCTATGATAAAAGTCCAACAAAATATCAGAAAATCAATGAAAGTCACAGTTTTACTAGTACATCATTGCACTTGTGTTGTATAAATCCATTACCCAGCCCTTTTTGGAGCGCCCAACAGTGTCGTCACGTCCCCCATGAGAGATTTGGCCCTTCCTCCCACTGTCAATCAAATAGTTCACCTTTTGTTGACCTGTCATTGTAGTGGCCTTCCACCGTAACAGGCATTTTGGAGATAATTAGCATTATCCATAAGCTGTTTAGGTGTAACTGCAGTCAGCATGTCGTTGTGTCCCTGAGACACTTCACCCCCAATTGCTCCTGTGGGGATTGTCCACAGTATTGAGTATGTAAGTCACTTTGGATAAAAGCGTCTAACAAGTGACATGTAATGTTATAACCTGCATCCAGAGCACGTCAGTATTATGCAAGACTTACGTGTTATTAACCCTGGACCATAAAGCTGTGCATGATACACAACTCAAGGTCTACTAAAGGTAGATGTAATTATGAGACAATGCTCAAAGTAGTTCTTTATTAAAGCTCCCTGGAAAGTGAATTCTGATCAGATAAAAACAGCATAAAAAACGACTTTCTGTTTGAACGAGACAAATGTCATTCACAGGAAATGAATGCCAACTTATCCTGGGATTTTAAAGCTTTTAATTCAGGCATTGTTCAAGGACTGTCAAGAAAGCTAATCAAAAATGTCCAAGATAATTGAAGTCTTTATCGTCACTTCTAAATGTGTTACTAAAATGTAATTGAGAAAAATGAAGTTTACAGAATTCCTTTGTATCCAATTGTATGTTTAAATCATGATTACGTTTATCCAGCATCTAACTAGGAGAATGGGATTGTTTGATTTCAAATATCAAAATATATTTGAGTGTTTATGGTAGAGAAAACACTATATTCTGTTGGAAATAAAGCACTTTGTAAGGAGTATATTGTTAAGATAAATTAGATAGAATGTACTTTATTAATCCCAATTTGGGAAATGTTTGTAATCAAGCATATTCATATCCTTTAAAACATAACAATTAACAAACTTTCAAGACATTGTATGAACTTTCTAGAAAACGATGGGCCTGTTTTAATGCAGCTTTTACTTCAGTGCTTTAAACAGAAGAGCTTATATTGTGTTGCTGTTTAGTAGATAGCAACTAAATTAGATTTGTTTTGTAAAGTTCAGACAACATTTTCAAAGATGAAAACTAAGTAATACATTTGCCAGCCAACCTCTGACATTTCTGCTACATTACAACTATTAGAACACACAATTTGGTCGATTTCATATGGATTGTGTGTGTAATATTCCCTCTGTGGACGGGATTTATGATCCTGGAAATGTGTTTGTCAGTGAGCCTCAGCGGGCGGCGGTCCAGCGACAGACAGGCAGAGATTATGTGGTGCAGACACACCGGCCTCCCAATGTGCCCGCCTTCAACCCAAAGAAAACAGAGTCAAATGTTGGATTTACAGTCTTCGTTTCACATCTATCGTGTAAAGTCAAAACCCTGTCAGTTTTACCGGCTTTAAAAAAAGACTTTCAGTATTTATCTTTTAGTATTTTTGCTTAACGGAATCTCTTCTTTCTCTATATCCAGGTTGTCACATTGCTCAATGATCTGTACACCTGTTTTGACGCCATCATCGATAACTTCGACGTATACAAGGTAAGTCAGGATGATAACAACAACTATGGAGTCTTTGTTTCCAATCTGGTTTTGATGTCATATGCACATAAGCTACAGGTTAGATGGCAATGAAATTCTTCTCCCGAGCTCCTCCCACAAAGCAACAGTTAAATAAGACATAAACAATAAAAAATTAAAAAACTATATAGACGTAAATATAATTTTATACAAGAACAGAATGTATCTCACTCTCAACCTTCAAATCCAGCCTGAAAACACACCTTTTTAAACTGGCATATTCAATATCTTAATAATTTTTCTAAACTGATTGTTGTTTTTAAGTCTTTGTTTTTAAGTCTTGTATTACTGTGTGATCTTCTTTGTTGCTTGTTTTTAATTATGCTCTGTAAGGTGTCCTTGAGAGCTTTTGAAAGGCGCCCATAAATAAAATGCATTTTTATTATTATTATTAAATGTAATATTGTTCAGTAAGATACAATTAAATAAGGTTTATTAGTGATTTTTTAATTTCATCTTACTGTACAATATGTAATGTTACATTCTGTTCTTGTATATTTAAATATTAAACAGTAAGATTAAGTCTTGGACGTCTTATCGATGCTGCTATATTGTATTGCCATGTCATAAATACTTGGGAATTCTACTCTTACTCTTGCACTTTTCTTGCATTTTATGTATTTGTACTGCTATGTTTGTAATTTTCTTAATGTTTTATGTGAAGGACTGCGGATGGAAAGTAGCTCAAAGCTAAATCCGGCATATTTACATTTGGCACATTTAATGTTTCATTAATGTGCAATGTCCCTGCCTGCCAAATAAACGAATAAATAAAAATAAGACGTGCTTTTTGGAATCCTGCGAATACCATTTTTCTTTTTTTACATTCTATCCCTTTTGATTGGTCGCTCAGGTGGAGACGATCGGCGACGCCTACATGGTGGTGTCCGGGCTGCCGGTGCGGAACGGGAAGCTGCACGCCAGAGAGATCGCTGGGATGTCGCTGGCGCTGTTAGAGGAGGTCAAAACGTTCAAGATCCGGCACAGACCCAACGACCAGCTGAGTCTCAGGATAGGAATACACACAGGTGAGTCAGAGCAGCTGGGCACATCTGCACCGAGGTCACATGAGCTGAAGCTCATCCTGCTGAGGTGTCCTTGAGCAAAGCACTGATGACTCAAACCCAACATCTATTTCCTGCTTTTTTCAATTGGTATAGATTGTTTTATTGCCCAATGTTAAAAAAGGTATTTAGATCTTTTCTAAGTTACAGGTAAAAATATAAAAATTACAATGTTTATCCATTAGTTGATTTACATTTGTATTAGCAAATAATCTGAATTTATAAAGTAATTTAAAATGTAAAATGAATGAGTAAAAAGTACAATACTTGCTTCAAAAATCTAGTGTAGAGTGGAAGTAAAAAGTAACCCTAACTAACACCAGACCTTTTTGAATTGTTGAAGAAAAATCTGACTATTAAAATATTGTTGTTATTGGAACATAATGTATTTTGTTGACACGTTGTTGTCCATTCCTTCCAAAAACAAGAATGGGCTGATTGAAAATTGGTAACAACACATTTTTCCCGCCAAAGAAAGTGAGAAATAATTCTCCCAAAATGGGACACACAGGAGCACATTGCTTTATCTCCTCTTGTGTTTTATCGCAATGTTTGCACAGCTTTCAAAACAAAGAAGATGTTGACTAAGATAAACTGTAATTACGGTATGTGTAAAGTGGCAACTAATGCGTTCCACAACTAGATAAGATCGCTTGTTAAAATGTATGGTAAACATTTGTATCTGCCTCCTTTCAATAAAGCCTTGTCCTCTTGACTCAACTCTCAACATCTGAACAATCATTAAAGCAGGATGTATTCGTTTTAGCGAGGTGTATCTCGTAAACTGGCAGCAGTGTGTATATCAAGTGCAGGGCGGTTGTGATTTGTAACGTCCCACCTCTGGACATAAACACTCCGGATGTTTTATCTTGACCCGTCTGCGGCATTTAGTCCGATGTCATTTACAAGAGGCCCCAGTCACAATATTTAGACTGTGTCATCAGCTAATGGGCGCACAGTTTGAATTAATGAGACACTCGACATGAAACAGGAATGGACCAGTGTGCGTAGGCTGGTATTATCCGAGTTAATAATTCATCCTTTCCATTTGTGTGATGAGGACAGCAGTTTCTAGATATTGTTAATATTTTGATGTCTGACTTTATGTTCCTTGTGCTTTTAGGGCCAGTTTGTGCCGGAGTGGTCGGCTTGAAAATGCCCAGATACTGTTTGTTTGGAGATACTGTCAACACGGCATCTCGAATGGAGTCCAACGGAGAAGGTCAGTATCAGTGTCCCTGTTTTTTGTTGTTCTATTTTTATTTTTATTTTGTATAACCGATCTGGATTCTGAACATAGTGTACACCCATTCATGTTACAGTGTTTTCTCTGAGTTGTTTTTCAGTGTTTCGAAAGGACTTTCACTCTGCTGTTTACTAAATATATCTGTTATCCAGTTTCGCCATATTGCAATTCTACTACTGTGTTCTGGTAGAAGGGTCCTGTCTGGTAATTATTTGTTATTTATGTCCCTCTTTTACCCTATAAGGTTTTATTTCTTCTTGTAGGTTTTGCCTTTTTGTGATTTTTGGCACCTTAAAACTTCTACCGGATGTGAGACATTTTTCTCCCAGGGTTAGGGTTAGGGTTAGGTTTAGGCTTAAACTGAACTCATACTAAAAGCCCCTATGCCCAAGTATGGAGTCTCATATTTTACAATGCTCAGTCATTTCCTAGAACATCTGGGCACAAAACATTGCTTTTGTTGGGGACTATTTTCAGCTGTGGATGAATACACATTTGATGTTATTGTGAGTATTTATAGCTGCAGGTTGGTGTGTGTGGGATACAAACTACAATGTGGGTTAATGGTAATGAAGAAACATGCAACCCATTGCAACTGTGTGGCTCATTTACTTCTTTATCAAACTAAGTATATTTTATTTATTATACTGTATTTTTCTAATATGGACCACAGGGAGAGTGCTTGAATGGTTGTTGCCAAGGAAACAGTTCATGGGGATCCAGATACACAGTAAATAAGCACTTTGTTTGAGCATTAAATCTAAAGAGAGCATAATCTGATTGAATCTATATTTTTGTTGAACTAAACTGACATTTGTTCTTTTATCCTTTAAAAGAAGCATTCATCAGTACAAATATTGTTTCGAAGCTGAGTATAAGACGCACTGCAATGACAGGAGCCAGTGTTATGGAGCTGTGGTTGGATAGTTTGCGAGTGAATCATCAGACGTATTGATTAACTACCGAGCCGCTTCCTGTATTGTGCCTCCTCTGGTAAATAATTGATAGCATTACAGCTAATGGCCCCTTAGCCAGCGATAAAGTGTGCAGCCTGAAGCTCCACCGGCTGAGTCTGACATCTCAGCGTTGTGTGCATTAATTGGACAAAACAATACCGATTTTCATCGCCGTTAGCATTTCAGATATTTGACAGGACTGAATTTAACTGCTCGTCTCTGGTGGCGATGATAATACAGTTTTCAGCTGTCCTCACAGTGTAAAATGCTCAGTGTTTGTTGTGCTCTCGTTGTGTTCTGCAGCCTTAAAGATCCACTTATCCTCGGCCACCAAAGAAGTGCTGGATGAGTTTGGATACTTTGATCTCCAGTTACGAGGAGATGTAGAAATGAAGGTAAGAACTTTGCTTTTTTTTTAGTGACAGAGTTGAAGTGCCAGAAAATAAGAAAGCATGAAGAAAGGCGGTCAGCTTTTGTCTGTGCTACCATGACAAAAGTTCAAACAAATGAAACGTTGCTTTATTGTCTAACAGGGACCAATATTTACACAGAAACATCATTTGAGAAGACTCTGACCATGTAGTCATGTAGTCATTAGTAAAGTGTTTTCTGAGCTGATACATTAAGTTAGAAGTCTAGTCTTTTTCTCATAGACTTCTACACAACTGGACTTCTATTCGCAACCAGTTGCCCCCTGCTGGATATAGGAAAGAATGCAGGTTTAGGCATTTTAAAATGGCAAGTGTAAAGATGTGTCTAATTCTCCTCTGATTATGCACGAATGCTTTATATGCTGGGAAAAGGTGGAGGTGTAAGCTCAGCTGCTGTACCCATCAGGGTCACCCTTAAACACAGCCTAATAGGATATCACCCCCATGTCCACCATCTCCATTGATGAACCTATTGATTTCTGTGTTTTTCAGGGCAAAGGCAAAATGAGAACGTATTGGCTTCAAGGGGAGAAGACTGATATGTATGTTGTCTGAGAGGCCTGCTGATAACGTGGCAGCGGCGGAGACGACAGCAGGAGCTCCGGTGGCCGAGCCAGCCACTTCTTTATTTGTTCTAGAATAAGTCCTTATTGGTTATTTCCGTGCAAAGGAAAACAGAACGACACCAAACGACAAAACCAGAGGGAATTCCAGGTATATTTACTACCTGCAAACTGCAACTGCAAAAAAGAAGAAAAAAGTATTGTAAAAGAAGATCCTTTATGTCTGGAAAGTGTGTACTTTTCACTGATACATTCTTATTTTTTGTGCCTTCTATATTAAGATTTGTATAATGTGTTTGGAAGTCAATGATGTATTAATATTTACATAGAAGTTTGGAGGCACGGCTTTTGCCATTGATGTCACTGCAGGGGTTCATAAACCGTGTTACACAGTACAAGATAATATGTATATATGTATATCCAAGATACTGTAAGATATTTTGTTCAATAAACTGAGTAAAACACTCTTTTTTCCATTCATGGACCAGGCGGTATTTTGATCCTTTTGCCTTTCAGTGTGTGGTCAGTTATTGACGTGTACATCCATAAATAGTGTAACATGACAACGGCAGAGAAGAGTCTGTTCTGTAATGCATTCACGTTACATTTCATAATGTGAGCTCTCTGGATGTATCTGGGCCACGTTCTCCTGACAGTTCTCACCCTGATGTTTCCATCCAAGTTTAACCCAGATAACATTTATAAATGACCTTGTGCTGTCCGTCCCCCGTCTCCAACACACACACACACACACACACACAATATTGGATGTACCGCTAAGATTTTCACATTGAAAAGTCTTCTCGCTGTAACCTTTAAGGGAATGTCTGCTGAAATGAACCTAAATAATTTATTGTCTATTTTTGTTTTCCAAGCTCTGCCCTTTTTATCAAGTCCTGATAATAAGATAAGGTTCATCTGATGAACATTAGCATTGTCAGTTTACATTTCGAAAGGCTGCCATAGTAATATTACAGATAAACATGTGCAGCCTGATTGCGTGCAAGAATGTGTACATATCGGGGAAGAAGTGTGGAAATGTTGGTGGCAGGCAGCTGCCTGCGTGTTTGCTGTAATGACATCCCCGCTCATTAGCTGCTCATTATCGGTTGTGAAACAGGGGGCATGGGCGCTGTGTGTGGCCGTGTGTGAGTTTTTATCTCTGCAGGAGAACACCCTCCCCTCCTGCACGGCTGTAATTACCGCTCAGTGACACACCGCCTGCTGCAGCCACAATGAGCGAGTGAAGGTCTCTGCTGGACCTCCTGCTGACCCGCTGACCCTCCTCACAACTGACCAGTGTCATCTGTCATCTCTTCATGTGTTATTTTCTACCCTTCTTACAGCAGAGGACCTTGAAGTTCAAAGACTCGCAGGCGTACTGCAAAGAACAGTTGAATCCTTTAAAAATTGTTTAGAACATCTTAAGTTATTGGGTGATTTCATGTTTTTGAGAAAGTGTTAACCTGCATTTGGGTTGGGGAAAATTAATCGTTTTCAGTGATAATTAAGGCTTTTAAAGCTAGCGATTAATCAGGGAACAAAAAAATGATCACGTTATCAGGTTTGACCCCAACTTCCTCCTGTAATACCAGCACAGATTTTTACCAAAATGCAAAGAAAGCTAAGGAACTGGAACAAGATACATGTTTTGCAACGACTGAGATCACTGAACATCAGTTAGCAAATATAACCACCTCGGTGTGGCAGCACAGATGTGATAAATATCGAAGAAAGGCTTTTTGCTGAAGCATATTATGCTAAGACAGTTTCTTGAAGTTGCACAAGGGTGGGAGAGAGGGGACAGGGTCACCTCTGTAGGAACAGATAAGGATCACAGGATGATAGCAGTAGAGAAAATATGTATGCCTTGTGTTATATGGAGAGTGAACACAACAGCTCTCTGTGACAGCTGCTTTGCTGATGCTTTAGTTTAGTGTCGGAAAATCATGTTTTAATGAAGTAGAAACCCTCAGATTTCTATTAGCAGTTTGTCATGCTTTTATTACCAAGCACCGCACCTGTGTTTGTTCCCTCCCCCCCCCAATATAATTAAAAACTAGTAGTTTAAACGTGTGATTTATCACGATTAACCACAGCTTCCCTTAAAAAAAAATGTCATAGCAATTTCTTTTAGCCAAGAGATAAACAACATAGATACAAAACTAAAATCAAAGAAGGGGAACAAAGGTGACATCTTGCTATTACATTTTAAGCCAAGCCTTGTCTTTAAGAAGCAAATGTTTGTTCTATATCATCCAAGGATATAAAGAAATGTTTGGAGAAGAAACCTACATAAATATCAGCTAAAATGACTTGTCGCCATAGCTACCGCCTACTAATCCATGCTGAAAGAACAGAGAGGGTCGGCAGTGCATGGACTTGTCCTCTGAGTGACAGAACACATGTGAATCTGTACCACACTAACAATGTGTTTCGTATGTGCAGGTCTGTGTAGAGGTGGAGGAGCGCTCTCTGTGCTGCTCACTGATCCCCAGAGGATTTCTTGTTGTTTTCTTCAAGGACAATAGCAAAGATATTTACAATGTATGGGACGAATGTGTGGCTTTTTGTTGCTTGGCATCATTCGATTGCAATAATTAGAGGTTGCCAGGGCCACAAAGGAATGATGGAAAAAAGATGAATGGAGAAAGCAAAGCTTGGTCAGGCAGAGGCAGTGTGAGGAAACAGAAAAAAGGAACATGAGTCCAGCTATTCAGCGTCCTGCTGCAATTACTGTCGCCTTGAAGAAAAATTTAACTTTCAACAACAAGACCTGAATTGTGTTTAGCATGACATAGAATCGTTTTTTGCAATCGGTTTTAAGAGATAGTTTGGATTTGTTGAAGCAAGGTTATATGAGGTCATTTTATTTAGTCCATATATATTGCTTACATGCGAGGGCAGTCACCGTTAAACTGCTATTTTGGACTGAAACTTCTGCCGTTGCTTACAATCCATGTGTGATCCATTAGCTAAGCATGCTTTATTCTTTGCAGGGCTACGTCGTGTTTAGCAGCACTTTCCTTCTGACAAATATAACTGTACTATAAGCATTTAATCAAAAAGTGAAATGCTTTGATACAAGTATGCCTGACTGAATTGAGACAATAGAGGTTTCTCAATACTCAAATTTTCCCTCCTCGACACACATACATTGTCTACGGAGCCCCCAAGGGGACATGGAGAAGAAAAAATAAATAAAAATGTTTTGCGAGATATCGCAAAACCTTTGCGAGATCTCGCAATACTTTTGCGAGATCTCGCAATACTTTTGCGAGATGTCGCAAAACCCCTTTGCGAGATCCCGCAAAAATGTTCGTTTAGCGCAATGTACTTCCGGCCGGTTCAGTTTGGCAACCTACAGTACTCTGGGGCAGCTTGTAACAGATGAAAGAGTCATGGAGGAGGATTTGGAAAGCTTTCTTCGCTCGAGAGAGGTCCCACAAGAGGACATCATGAAAATGCAAAGTTTTTGTGTTTTTTTTTTCATTGAAACAACTGATGCACTGAACCGTGTAATGAGCAGTCTACAATTCTATTTTCTGCTTTAACAAGGATATTACATTTTTTTAAATATGCTTTGAGAATGACTGCAGTTTTCATTTTTGTCAGTTTGATCGTAACCCAGTTTAGAGGCTGAGATTAAGTGTGTTTTTTTTGCAGCTAAGAAAGCTAAACGGTGTTGTCCGTCACTGGTCGAATTGTTAATTGTTGATGTTATGGTGTTAAAGAGTCAGTCCTTTTTGATAACCTTCAGAAAAAGTTGAAAATTTAATGTGGACATAGTTATGTTAGATCTGTTTACAAAAACTGTGATGTGAAGTGGTGAAATGTGCCTGAAAGACTACCCTCTAATTACAATCCCTAGATGTATAAATAATATTACCACATATCCTTTATTACTGCCATTTCACCAGGCACAGGAATTATAACTCAATGCTATTTTCTTAGAACAGAAATCGTGTGTATTGTAGATTGCATATGAAGTGACGTATATAATGTGCAATTGTTTTATTTTTTTTATTTCTCAATGGTCTTAATAATGGACCAAACCAAACTGATTAGGCACATTTAATGAATCAGGGTTGCAAGCCAGGGATTTCACCCACTAGATAAAATACCAAAAATTTTATTATATTTCCACATGTTAAGATCAGCTTGTCTGTTAGTTTCTACCCCTTCTGACATTAGTGCCGTCAACCGGCATCACTGTGTTTTCTGTTAACTTACATGTAACTGATGTCTGTATACTTGGTTCTAGCATTCTAAAGTCCTATAATTTCACACACACTATTTTGTTTACCGTCAAACACTCAGAATCGAATTCAATTAATTTACTGGTTAGGCGCTTTTCCAAAGCGGCTTACATACTCAATACTGTGACAAGAGCAATTGGGAAGTGTCTGCCTTAAGGAACACAACGACATGCGTGGGGTTGAACCTCCTGCCCATCTGATTCCCTACAGGCTCTATCCACTGCGCCACCGCCTCACCCAGATGAATACCTTTTTATTAGCCAAGGAGGGGACTTACATTGTTACAGGCGAAGAGCCAAAGCTTAATGTTACCTAAGAGCATGCATAAAAAAAGTAATTAAGATAAAAATATATTAAACCAAGTTCGACAATTCAAAATACACATCCTGTAAAAGGTTTATCGGAGTATTTGCCAGTTATTTAACGGCATATATATATTGCACATGTGGTATTTACACAACAGGGTTGTTATGAGTCCGTGTTATTGTGTGGCTGTGGTGTGGGGGGGGGGTCTACTAGGGGCTGTACTGGTTTATAGTATGTCTGACCGCTGCTCCCTCTCTCTGAACACGCGCCGCACGGGTGCAGCAGCCCAGCCTGTCCACTCGAAGGAGCTGCACAGTGAGGACATGGGTCATGCCAATCACATGTATACTACACACACACGCAAGGGGGGAGTGATGTTGACAAGGCAGATTTTAGTCATCTTAGAGTTCATAACACCTTAACAGGACTGGTGTCTACAGAATCTAAAATATTCAACAGCTTAGACTTTACTGACATATTCTAAATTCTTAGTCAACTTAAAAGATAGGATTTTCAAATTAATTATATGAGCTATGACACACACATGACCTAAGTTCATCAACATATGCAGTGATAGCATTACTACTTTGTGAAAGAAACTATGGCATAAGAGCTATTACTCCCAGAAACAACAAGCAGTGCGGTGACGGTGAGTTCCAATGTCCACGGTATATGATTTAGGAGGAGATGCCACCCTGACCATCGGCCTCGTCTTAGGTGCCGCATCTTCCACGTTAAGCTGCGGTAGGCGGTCTGTTGTACGAAGTAACGATGGGAACGAGGCTCGCCCATAAAAGATGTGGCATAGTTCCGTACACAATCTGGCATCACATGGTACTTCGGCCAGCCGATAAGACCATTCATTTTTGCAAAGTTGAATCGTGTTCGTGCTTCAACAGGGGAAAGGTAGTCCTC